ATCCAGTCATTGTGGCCATGCAGGTAATTTTTATAAAGCCAATAGACACATCCCTGAAAGGCCTGAAGATGGAAGAACACTTCTACTGACAGAAACTGACATCATTAGACTGGGTTGGGTCTTAGAATCGTGGTTTTTTACACCTCTCAAGTATTCAAAGTGTGAATTCATATGGGCACGTCAGAATGACCAACTAATGCCTGGTCCACTACAGATATGGAAAAAAAAGAAGTATCTTGTATGTGTGTGGTAAGTATACAAATTCGTTTTTTCCATACACGTGAAACATTTGTTGATACAAACATATATCAACACAAAATTTATAGAAGTATAAACCAGAAAACACATAAAAGATCTCATATATGGGCAGAACATATTTCAGTGTGATTTCCTGTACATTCATGGCTGAAATCTATTGCAGACATGTACCCTGCGTATGGCTGATGATGTCAGCAGAAGCCATGTTTTTTTTCCAGAAATTAAACATTCTAAACTTAGCACCTGAAGCTCCTATATAATTCCTTTCATTGTCAGGAACCTATAGAAGCTGAAGGATGGGAGAGGGAAGTCTTTAATTACCTAACATTGCTGCTGCCGGGATGACTTTACTGGCAGCAGTGATTTTCAGTAATAAAACTTCTATCCCATGGCTTCCATGGGTTCCATATAATGAAACAGATTACAGGAGAGCCTCGGAAGAGAATCAGAAATGTTTTATTTCTGAAAAATCACCACTGCTAATGACATCATCAGCCTTGAGCAGTGTAAGTTACAGCAACAGGATATCAATCCATGTTTTAATTTTTTGCACCCTGAGTATACAGGAATTTTTGGATGTGCCTGTGCTTCGATTGGGCTGTTTTTCTGTATTTGAAGTTTCCATCCTGTATACATATATGTATGTGGCAGCAGGTCCTCCTGAACTCCAAGGGATGACTTCAAAATAAACACATACAAGATTGCACTGCAAGTTATAAACATGGGGGAAAGGTGTCAATCTTCAAAATGTTTTTTAAAGTATTGTGGATAGAGAAGTAGGAAGAACAAAATAAATAGTTGTTCAACTACATTTTGTTTCCCTCCATGCTGTCTCTGCTGAACTAATATTCCACTGACGCACAAAGGAGCTTTTTATACAAGCCTTATATGAATTGCTTCCAGAATATTTCATAAATTATGGTTGTTCTCCAGTGGGTAGTACATTGCTAAACCAGAAAATACAGCAAGGAGAACTCACTATACCTATTTACCAACAAAGAAAATATGTTGCCTAAACCGGTTTTTCTGATTCAGTGTAATGTTTGCATATGTCAAGGTAGACAAATATACTGTAGTGAGTAATACTGGCTATCATTGGAGCAGCTCATTTACTTTTGAGTAATCTTGCTGAAACATATATGCAGCTCTTAAATATTTAAAGGTGTGCATGTATGCAGCATACTGATAAAAATCCAAGAACCCAGTGTATTTGAACTCCATACTGCAGAATGATCTCATCCTAACATTGGATAATTGAGATCTACTACATTTGCCAGCACTTTTCCAAAATGTGTCTCTTTATTATGGATGTAAAAGAAAAAAAGAACATTAAGCACACTCACACCTCAAAATGCTTGAAATAAAAAGCGTCACTGAAGCTTGTACTTTCCCTGTGCTATCAAGAGCTCTGCTAAGGCCTTCATGTAATTGGAATCAAATGCATAATGCAACAAAGCTGTTCATAGTACATTAATTTTCCTTCTATTTCAAGCAACCGGTTTTTCAGGCAAATTTTTGGAGTTATATAAGTTTCTAATGGCTGCTAGAGGTCTGTTGCAATCAGTGTCAATTGCTATTAGGTATGTAAATTGTTATGTAAAACACAGAGGCTTGACATTCTTCATCAAAATAACATACAGCTTTAATCTACGGAGACAGTTTTGGATAGGTAATATTTACGAGTAAAGCATCCTCCCTTGAGAATAATTTAGATACTTTACAGATTATTAAAACAAACCTTGTCCTGTATATACTGTGATCTTCGTTCTTCCAAATTTATGTGGAATTTAATCATAGTTTCATGCTGTCTATCAGTTATTACATTATAAACAATGACACCCCAAAGTGTTCATGGCAATTCTTAGAACTGTATTTTGAGTTCAAACAGACCCTGGCTAGTTTCACACTGATAATTTCTGAATCCAGTGACCTCTTTCACCTAATTTCTAACTACTGTACCCCTAATTCACAAATGATTTTTCTTTCTTCATCTCAAAGTAACTACTTGGTAAAATAAAAGTATGCTGTATCATTAATTTAAAGAAAAATATGAACTGCAGTTTTTTTAAAAAAAATTAATAGAGACAAACAGCTGCTTTATTTAAGAATACTGGATGGGTTGTCTGTGTCATTCTTTAAAAATAAGCCAGCCCTTCTCTATTTATGTGTGTTTAATTTCTCAAAGAGAATAACACTGGAATAATTAAGTGCAAATTACAGAAACTCTGAAAAGGGAAAAAAGAACTATTTGCCTTGCCCTGGGATGGAAGCAAGGAACTTTACAAGACTCTAAAATTCTTGGGAATCTAAATCAATGAGAATGAACCATTCAGGAAATATAAGATCACTAATACACTAAGACATGTATTAGTGTATGCATTTTTATGCACCCTGTTTGCTGGGATCCAAAGAGCCACTCGTTCTGTCTAAGACAGCATTGCCTTATGTTTGTCAAACAACGTATCCCCTACTCCTGCTCCTAAGGCATTCATATCACCTGATAAACCACTTTATTAACTGAGGAGATTTAAAACAATAGTTTACATTATGAGAAGAGGGGAGGGTTAAAAGTTAGCAATCCCCACCAATATGCCAGAGAGCATGGACATACTGTACATAAATGGCTCTTCAACTACAAGTCAAATAACAAGTATAAAATTAAAACAAAACCAAAAAAAAAACCAAATGGAAAGAGAGCCACATCATCTCACAGACTTATCCTTTTTAATTTAGCTAATCTAATCCTGGAAGCCAAACTGTTCTAAAATGTCAACAAAATATGCATGGAAAATTCTACTTACTCTGCTTAAAACCGAGGTAGGGTATCCGTTCAATTGGTGTTTTTCTTTCTTTCATATATTTGTAAAGTGCCACAAGGAATGCCTGTTCATCCGCTTGGCATTCTTCACCTACAGAAACCTTGGATTTATCTTCATTTGAGCCCTTTTTACAATTGCTGTTGTTATTTTTGGTTTTGGACAAAGGCAGCTTAGCCTCACATTTTACCTGGAAGAAACGAGGAGATGTCAGATTAGATCTTGAACACTGCCCAATCCAACTTTCATTACCAATTAGGAGACAACCCCCCCCCGACCCATCATGGCCTCTCTTTCTTGTAAGGTCAACCTACACTGCTGTTACCATGTGCACAGTCACAATAGTTCTCAATCACTACCTCTAGAAAGGGCTAGACTATGTTTTTCCCCACCTGCAACAAATAACACTTCTTTACCTTCTCCCAAATAAATGACCAGTTATAAATTTCCCTTCCAAATGGGAAAGTTAACTGCTGGACACTGTCATAGTGAGTCAAGAACTGGTAAAGCGAAAAATTTAAGACATGATTGGAAAAATGCGTGGCTGTCTGGATTATGGGAGTTGCAATTCAGCACCCCATGGAGGAATAAGTGAAGGTGCCATGACTCAGCAATAAAGCACTGACTTTGACATGGACTCAAAGGCTGAAGAATGAGTGAGGTGAGCAGGGAAAACATTAGCCTCAAACACCAGTAAAAAATCAGAGAACTCTAAGCCTGAAAGACCAGGGACCCCTATCCCTAAAACCCTAATGCCTGTGACCCATGAGCTGACAGCCCCTGAACTGTCAATGCGGACAATAAAAAAGGTCCAGAATTGCTGGCCCTGCAGCTCCAAGTGCCAACGCTGTGCCTAGCTCTTGGAAAAATGTAGGAGTGCTTTGCCTGTCCCTTTTAGCCTTCCCCATTTTGCCAATGTGTGGAACCTGCAAGGAGTCCAAGATATATGAAGGCCATATAAAAATGTGTCCAGTTGATGCTTGGCTAGAGTTTGATGACCCACAGTGGCTCCCAGGACAAAAGCCAACCTGTGCAGCTTTAGGCAAGCTGCACCATCACAGAGTAATCCCAGAAAAATAGAGAACGGCAAACCATGTCCGAGTAGACCTAGAAAACCTTGGAAAGGGTCATTATACATCAGAATAGGCCTGATGACATGCAATTATTATTATTATTAAAGATTTATTCAGTAGTGGCCCTTTTTTGGTTTGATGCATTACAACTCTGTATTAGAAAAAATCCTTTTTATTTGTCTACATGGATAAAAAATAAACATACTGTAGTTTCAAACTATGATCCCGAAGCTTGGAATTTAACAGGTGGACAACACAGTTGGATTTTAGAGGCTGTTACTGTTGCCAAAAGACATATACTTCAAGGACAAAAAGATAGGGGAAAAAATCATTCACTGCTCAATGGTCAGAGCTTTAGATCTGCCAAATTGTCTGTTCTATTGATGCAAACACTAAACAAAATCCTTTTCAGATATACATTAAGCATATATAAATATTTATATACACCGGGCCCATGATGACATTTTTTATATATCCTCTGTTGACTTTCATACAGCACCCACTCATAGATCTTCCATATGCAACACTTCATTCCTTTGCATTCTTACTACCGATTAGAACAAAACATAAGGTGGCAATGGATGTTTGGACAGCACACTGAGGTTTACACTGCAATCTCACCCTGGGAAGTTTGGCCCTCATGTGCATGGACAATGCAGGGCACATGTGCAAGTTGTCTCTATCGGCGAAATGCATGGGAACACATTGCACTACCAGCAGAGGCAACATACAGAAGTTTCCTCTCCTCCACCTACACTGTTGTCAAGCCAGTTATTCGAATTGGGACCACTAGCAGTGATCTAGAGGTGATTTTTCTCAAGCTTTCACTGTATTTCTCACTGATATGAAATTTTACAATAGATTTATCAACTTCTACCTACATAATTAACCTATTTTGTGCAATAATTTGTAACAAAACACTCTTCTTAGAGGAAAGAAACAGGGTTACATGATCTATTTGGACATGCTTTTTTAAATGATTGCTATGTAAAAGAGACCTTTGATAACTGCATAACCTAGCGGGAAATTTTCCTTCATATGCTCAGCACTGGAGCAGTGTTTCTATAAACAAAGTATCTCCTTTCAGTGTCTTGGGGTAATGCATGAACTGTCTGTGTTAAAACTGGAGGGGGAGCAGGCTTATATTAATTGAGGGCAGAGTACCAAAAAGTTGCTAATGAGACACACTGCAAACATTAACATCTTTAGATTTATTTTAAGATGAAATAACTAATCCTCATGATTATGGAAAATAATCTGCGTTCAAATACTCCCAAAGACACTGAAAATGAAGAGATTGGGGTGGGGTGGATTGAGGATTCTACTAGTTGAGGAAAGGCAAGGGTTAGGGTCAGTCAAATATATTTTAAAGCATGACGTACCGTAACCCTAAACAGAAACACTACCAACTATTTGCTATTTTAAGTGCTCATCCACTGGCTGTGGATATCACAGATAAATAGCAGGTAAGTAATTTAATCTCAGTGTTAAAAAGAAGTAGATAGTATGGTCAGGGAAAGGAGAGAGAAAATATATATGTACACACTTTAGAGTTGGAATGATTTATAAGAATTCATTCTATAAGAAAAAAAAACCCAAAGTGGAAACATCTATACTAGGGCACTAGAGCACCTTTTAAAACTAGCTTAGGTGCCAGAAATACCAGATATGCCAGGCTCATGACACCATTCCCAGATACTTGCACAAGACAGTGGTTTACAGTTATTGTGATTTTAAAAAAAGGAAGGATTGATCAAGGAACTATTATTGGGAGTGTTTCTCATTACTTTAGTGGGCTCTCTGCAAAAAAACCCTATTTTTTCCTTACAGCAAATCTAAAGTAGTGAGACTCTCCCAAATAAGATGCCAAGTTGGCAACTCAGAGGAGAAGGTAATTAAACCTATAAAACATAACCGTGTTTATAGGAGTACACAACAATCTATTTATTCATCATCCTACTTGCCTGTAACATACATAGTGTTTTCCCCAACACTGAACTGTGATTTTGCATAATTTCCACAATCAAAAAGGAATCTGCATGACATGATCAGCTCATATAATTCTCTTCCCTCACATGACATCATTTTTGTATCAGCAGATTCCTAACCATGTTTTTTTGTGAGCCAGGAATTGTAATTTTACAAACTCTAGCTCACTAAATAAGCTGGCAAAATAATACATAGTCTGTATTTTGTTTGCTTAGCAATCCATTTGAGCTTATTTTCGGCCACAATACAGCATCTACTTTATAACACAGGCAGCTTGTGACTGAACTAAGGGGGTACCTGCACAATCCATGAGCTGCCCCTTCTTTGTGAATAACAACAAACTGGGAATCTGCTGATGTGGAACTGAATTCTGTTTTATTATTCTTGTTGTCTACGTAGGGAAAGGGACACTGGGAGCTTCGCAGGGTTACTTTTTAAAACACAGCTTGGTTGGCATGGGGAAGTTGCCAGCATTGGTACCCTGCAAATTCTTTCAAGTGCCTTTCATCAGAAGTTTGCATCCTCTTACCAGCACAGGACAAGGTTCCTTGCTCTGGAAATCCACTTAAAAGATTGCCTTTCCTGTCTGTCTCCAGCATTGTTTTCCAGACAGTTCAATACAAAGATCAATATACATGGACAGTTTGAATATACCCAATAAATCCAAGAGCAGGGGGAATATTTATATGCAAATATATTAATGCCAGGATAACCTGTAGTTCTATATAACAATGAGATAGTCACAAACAATATATATATTGTTTATGTCTCTCTCTCTCTGGATGCATAGACATCAACTACCACTGCTAGGAACTTAACA